CCTCCTCTTCCTTCCTTCCTTCCTTCCTTCCTTCCTTCCTCTCTCTCTCTCTCTTTCTCTCTCTTTCTCTGCTACTGAGCTATATCCTCAACCTTCCTTCCTTCCTTCCTTCCTTCTTCTTCTCCTCCTCCTCCTTCTTCCTTCCTTCTTCTCCTCCTTCCTTCTCCTCCTCCTCCTTCCTTCCCTCCTTCCCTCCTCCCTTCCTTCCTTCCTTCTCCTCCTCCTTCCTTCCTTCTCCTTCTCCTCCTTCCTTCCTTCTCCTTCTCCTCTCCCCCTCCTTCTCCTCCTCCTCCTCTTCCTTCCTTGCCCTTCTATTTCCACGTGGTACTTCATATGAGAAACCAAAGTGATTTCATCCCATAAAGCAATAATTATCAGCCTTTGTTTTAAGAGCTACTTTCCACTGCTGTGACCCTAGGTAAGTTGACAAAGTAACCAAAAGATATATTTTTGATGAAGATTCATAATACATCTGGTAGCCAGGAATGCTCAGAGCTCAACCAATATGCCAAATAATAAAGGCCATACTGTTATATAAACATAGGTAAGTAGCAATGAATGCTAATTGTATACAGAATCTATAAATACAACAGAACACAAGTGAATAAAGCCATATTTCACCAAATAAAGCTCTTATGTGAATGCGAATTTTATTAAAATTATTCACTATATCATATTCATAACAAGTATGAATCGCTTATAATATGGCTAATAACAGATGAGTTATTAGCCTTAAATTTGTAACTTACATTTGTAAATTTCCAATGCCAGGCATTTCCAGCAAGATGTTCCAGTGGAATTTTAACTCAGCATCTTCAAACTGAATTCAGCATGTCTGGAAGCCCTTGCCCCTGCCCCATGTGTGGTGTTTCTGTGTGCCTTGTCTCAGTCATTAGCATCCTTTCTCAGATGGTTCCCTGTAGGGAATATATGTTTAGCTGCTCATCGACTTACCTATTTAAATCTGAAATCTCTCTTGAGTACACACACACACACTCTCTCTCTCTCTCTCTCTCTCTGTGTCTGGCCCTAAAGTCATTTCACATCATATTTCTTCTCTATCTAAGGGCTGTATATGCACTTCAGTGTGTATATAAAGCCATTTGGAATGGGGGATTGTGACTGGAGAAGATATTAGGATTTCTACTTATATTTTTCTTTTTAATATTTCAGGCTTTTATGATGCACATATTAGTCTAATTATCCATGTGTATGAACAGTGGTTATATATAGAACTGTGTACTCCCAAATTTTATTTATTTATTTATTTATTTATTTATTTTTATTTATTTATTTTTTGAGACAGTGTCTCATGTAGCCCAGGGTGGCCTCAAATTCAGTATGTAGGCATAGAGAGATGGCCTAGCAGTTAAGAATGCTTGCTGCTCTTCTGGAGGACCTAAGTTTGTGTCTCAGCATCCCTGGGAGGTTCACAATTGTATGCAACTCCAGCTTCCAAGAATTTGAGAACCTCTTCTAGCCTCCACAGGCACCACACATGTAAACACACACACACACATATACACACACACACACACACACACACAACAAATTTTAAATCTCACTATGGCCAGGCATGGTGGCCCACACCTTTAACCTGGTACTTGGGTGAATCTCTGTGAGATCTAGGCCAGAATGGACTACATAGAGAGTTCCATATCAGCTGAGGCTACAAGGAGACCCTGTCTCAAAATACAAAAGCAAAAAACGCCAAACAAATGGAAAACTTCACTATGTACCCAGAGATGACTTTGAACCTCTGATTCTCCTGCCTCCAGTTCCTAACTTCTGGGATTACTGGTGTATACCACCCCGCCCAGTTCTATTCAGTGCTGGGGGGATTGAACCCAAAGCTTCCTGCATGCTAGGCAAACATTCTAACAACTGAGCCACATCCCTAGCCCCTGTACTCAGAAATTTCTAAAGGAGCCCGTAATTAAAACAGTTTGGAGATGGTCCACATCAGTTATCTCAGTCTGCTATTCTGTGTGCAGTCCTAACTGCTCCATTGTTCTGTTATTTATGCATTTGTTAATACAAATCAAATATGTAAAGAGTATGGAAGAAGGAAAAGCAACTAATATTTTGGAGTCAGATGACATAAATTCTATGCCTATCACGTGATTTTGGGCAAACTATTTTAAAAATGCTTTATTATTTTTAAAGTTTTATGTGTATGAGTGTATTGCCTATGTGCATGTAAGTGCATCCGTGTTTTGCAGTGCCTATGGAGATCAGAAGAGGGTATCTGATACCCTGGAATTGGAGTTACAGATGGTTGTTAGCCACCGTGTGGCTGCTGGGAATCAAACTCAGGTCCTCTGCAAGAGCAGCCAGTGCTTTTAGCCCCTGAGTCGTCTCTTGAGTAAATTTCTTATTGTCTCTAAGGGCCAAGCCATAAAAGGGCACAATAATATCTGCTTTATAGGGTTGTAAACTAACACATAAAATGTATTTGAAGTCAACAAAATAAATAGTAATACCTTATACTTGTGAAATTTGGGCACCTTTAGAAAGTCTTCCATTAACAGGATATTGTTATGGTTTGAAGTGTCCCCCAAAGTTTCTACACTGGAAGCATCATCCCCTATGCAACAGTGTTGGAAGTGGGGCTTAATTAGCAGCGACTGCATCCCTGCATCATGAGGGTTCTGCCTTCAAGAAGTGACTAACATTATGCCTGCGCGAGTGGGCTAGTCATCTCCGCCCTGGGTTGCTACAAAGGCAAGTTCAGCCCCCTCCTGCTCTTGTGTCTACATGCTCTTTTCCCCTTCTGCCTTCCACCATGACCTGAGAGAGCCTGAAGGCCTCATCAGATAGTGGAGCCATGCTCTTGACTTCCCTGTCTCCAGAGCTGGGCCCGGATGCTTTTCTTCGTAAAAGACTCAGCCTCAGCTATTCTGAGCTCATTAATAGCTCTCAGCTATTAACAACACAGAAAATGGACAAAGACAAATATTTAAAACATTCTAGTTAGAGGAGACTTGAAAGAAATGACAAACTGAGATGTGACTTAATGGGAATGTTGCAGGTTGTGACAAGTATCCTGAAATGTGCCTGGAACAGAGGAGAACTGGGAGGGAGGGGGTCTATGGCAGAGTTGGAGGACCAACATCTGACCATTTTTATGGTAGCACTACCACTGAACTGCAAAGAACTTTATTTCAATAAGATAGCAGTAATATACTCAACCAACACTCAGAAAATGAAAGCAGCACCTTTATTTTACACATACAAACAGTATACAATGTTTATGTAAGAGCTGTGTTTTGTTTACAATATATTATATTGCTTCAATCCAATGCAAAGACTTCATACATTATATTCCTTATGTCATGTGCTTACAATATATTATATTGTTTAAATGCCACTAACACAGTGTGATTTTTTGGTATTTTTATGTTTTGTTTTTCCCAATACTGACTGTCTAGAATAGTGGTGAGGGCAAAAGTCTGTATGCATTTCAAGATAAGGGAGGGCAATTAAAAAATTAATTTAGACAAATATCCAAGTATTTGACAATAAAATTTGAAATACTGTAACTTCAACACTATTAACTGCTTTATCCAAACTCTTGTGATTTATATATTTTTGTCCAGTTTAACCTCTCTACTGCCCCCCAACCTAACACCATGAATGCACTATAATTTTGCAAATATCTGCCAACTACACACCAAATGACAAATTTTTAACCCGATCAACTGACATAATATAAAATCTGTCCCAAAGGACTGAAAGAAGAAAATCTATACCATCATGCTAGACATACTTAGAAAACTTAAAAGAGTAAATATCAGCCCCGTGATTTATAATGAAGCTAATAAAATTCAGGCCAGTATGCTAAAGTGTAATGAACATTATTTGAACATTCAACACATGAAAGGTTAACAAAGGCTACGAACTTGGTGTAACTTAAACCGTTTCAGATGTCGGAGTTCACCAGATGTAATTGGATTCAGGTGGATCCTGCTGCTCCTCAGCCTTTTTAAGTAGAGGCGTGTGCTGTCCAAGCCTGGCGCCTGATGGCCTCAGGGCATACATGAGGCTGGCTCCAAACCCTGCAAAATTATTCACAGCTTAAAAGAAAAGAAACTACAAAAACAGGCTCTTTAGATTTTTCATTAACCATTCAAATGCAATCCATTTTCCCTTTCAACCCTGAGTGAAAGACCACAGTGGCCACAAAAAGCTACCTGAATGGAGAAAAGCAACAGGTTCAAGGTCCCTGTCAACCTAAAGCCCATTTCACTAACTCCACCAATCTGCTTTCTATGAGATTTGTCACTCACTATATATTGGTCATGTAGAAACTCTTTCTCTCTGGACAAAGTCTCATGTAGCTGAGGTTAACCTTGATCTCCTGATTTTCCTGCCTCTGCCTTCTGAGAGCTGAGATTACAGGTGTGTACCACCGGGCCTGTTTGTTTGTTTCCTTGGCACTGGGAATCAAACCCAGGGCTTCATACATACCAGGAAAGTACCAGCTGAACTACATCTCTAGCCCCATCATTTAGAAATTCTTAATGCAAAGTTTGGATCAATGTGACTGAATGGAAAGATCTCTACCCAAGGACTGGCACTATACTGAGGACTAAAATGCTCCTGCTGAGGGTTTGGTCCTTGGTCCTTTTCATTGCATCACGAAACCAGCTTCGCTTATGTTAATCCAGTTCAATATAACAACTTCCACTCTTCACATGACTCCCAGGATTGACTTATCTATCACAGTCACATAAAACAGGAATTCCATAGGAATCAGGACTTCAGTTCTGCATATTAGAGAAAACATTACTTGAACTGACACCTTATCAACAGAATTTGTGAATTCTGTTTAAAGTGGCAATCTATCCATCTCCAATTAGACTGTAGGTGGACTCCAACACTTGAAACTTCCTTTCCTCTATTTGTGATCTTCTGGGGGTGCAGGGAGCATTGACCCATTTCTGATTTCCTAAAACTGATGAAGGCAGCAATTATATCTTAAAAACCTGTCTCCATCTTTCTGTGCATCAGAGTCAGTCAAGTTCAGCATTTCATTTGTGCTTTGTGGTTTTTAAATGCAAGCATGCTGTTAAACAACTATTGAGAATGAAGTGCTGTTTCTGTGTGTGCTTCTTTGAATTGTCAGAATGTAGGCTAAGAACTCAAGGGATGGTCAAAACAAGGGCCAACAATACACTGGCATAAACTCCTCCCATGCCTCTTGGCTTGCCACCCATGAAGCTCAACCTTCCTGCTGGGGCGGGAGAGCTAAGCTAGGAGCCGCTTTGTCTCCAGGATCCTCCTCCTCTCCGTGATGCCTGGGTGCCTAGGACCTCCCAACGTGCCACCCCACTAGGAGTCTGCTCTTACCAGAACTCTGTGACTCAGAGCGTCCTTGTCACCTCCCTCTAGTCAAAATAAACCCCATTCTTTGAGCTTGGTTCTTTTAGTTAATGTAGAAAAACACTGGGTGGCCTTTCATGGAGAACCAAGCACCAGGGCACCTTCTTTCCTGCTCTGAAAGAGGTACTGGTGGCGGTTGAACCAGTGTGATCTATAGTGGGGTGCAATTTGGTGGTCTGTAGGCTCATTCATTGCTCTACTATAGGAGGGCCCCTAACTTGCTCCCTGGAAGAAAGACTGGGTGTGTCTAGAAACAGTACCTTTGCTGTGTCCAACTCACTGGGCACTCTCACTGGGTTGCAAAATTATTGTTTAAAAGAAAAGAAACTACAAAAATAGGCTCTTCAAATTCTTCATTAACCATTGAAATGATAACGATTTTCCCTTTTTATCTCCTATTTTGCCTTTTGAAGACTACTGATGTAGAAAAAATATGTGCTATGTAACTGATTTGTTCAAATTTGTACTCATTTTGGGGGTGTCATAATCTGTACCTTGGTTACTGAAGTTTTGTGTGGGTGAAGTCTTGTTTTCCTCAAACAGAAGCAGATAGTGGATTCATGGGTAGGAGACTGTTCTCTCAGCCAGATGTACCCAAAACTCTGTTATTTTATTCACTCACTAATCGATCCCCCTTCCCACTGCTGAACCTATCTACACTCCGTGAGGCAGGATCTTTCTATTGGCTCATGTGGCCCCAAAGCCTGGATTCCTGCTTAGCACTGAGGAGGGACACCAATCAAGCTTCATTTTGTGTATAAAATAGTCCTGTGGTTTATCTACATTGACAGTTCATGTGGGTAGTCAGTGAATTGCAAACATACACATTTCCATTAGAATGCTCCCGCAAGGGCTTCACAAGCCTGCCCTTTTCTTCAAAATGATTCATTTAAACATAATATTCAGTGACACTGAAAGAGCTTAAAAAGCAAAACTTATCATCATATATTATATGTAAGTCAATAAATTTTGAGTTTTGAAGCCAGAGGTGATATTGACTCTGCAGTTTATACAAAATCTTTAGGGCTGGATTATAATTTAGTGGTCGTGCACTTACCTAGCAATGCTCAAGATCCCCAGTTTGATTCCAGCACCACAATAAAAAAAATGTTTACAGGATCAGTTCTTTCATAGTAATTCACAAGCTGAATTGCTGAACCAACCTGTAGTTCTAATTTAACCTAGGGAATCTTTGTGGTAACTGTGCAGATCTGGTGACATTTTACAATGAAGTCTTACACTTTAAAGCTTAGTAGACTGAAATTGAGAGAGAGGGAGAGGAGCAGAGGAAAGGGGCAGGCAGAGGAGGTACTGCTAATGACAGCAGGCAGGGCTGAGTCAGGGGTCTTCTGAAGACCCGGCTCCTCAGGTCTCTCCCACTCACTTTTATTGCAGTGTCTCCCATGCCAACCTTCTTGACACTGGCATTTGTTGGGTTCATGACAGGTTCCGTGCATACCACAGCCAGGTTCACAGACAGCTAGAATCAGAGCAGAGAACAGCAATGTTTTCCATGCCTTCCTTCTTTGTCTCTCTGTCTCTGTCTCTGTCTCTGTCTCTCTCTCTCTCTCTCTCTCTCTCTCTCACACACACACACACACACACCAATACACACAGAACCATGTAACCACATAGCTACTTTTCCTTTAGTTCTTTAGAGTGAGTTAGTTTAACTTCATCCTGTAATTTTGTTTCTTAACCTCCAGCTAGAAGTCAGTTTTAGAGTTCAAGCAAAAATCTTTAAGAATCATCTTAAAGTGAGCATAATGTTTCTCATTCACAAAAGACTCTCAGTAGGATTTTAAAACTGCGGGGTGGTAGAGTTTGTTTACCTCAAGAAGACAAACATAATACAACACAACAAAACAAAATGAAAAAATCAGCTGAGTGTGACTATTTTATATGTCCAGATTCAAACAGTGCCTCTTGTCTACATAAAGGAAACATTCATGTCAGTGAAAAGGGTCAATTATGATACGCAGACAACACATAGAAGGCATGGATGTCACATCCAGAGAGATTACTCTGTAACCAAATTGCTGGGGTGTGTGTGGTACTTACGCTTGGAGCAGAGGTCTCCTTGGTAACCTTTGGGACACTTACATTTGCTTTTACCAATGCATTTACCTCCATTTCGGCAGGGTTGTGGGCATTTGCCTGCAATAGAGAAGAAAGCAGCTAAGGACGGAAGGAGTCCAGTGCTCTCTCAGCTGTAATTACATCTTTCAGAGAAATGACAAGGCTTTGAGAGGAGAAATGCTCCAAAGTGACAGTCATTCCCATCTATTTTAGGTCTGTTCTGGCTTTCATGCAGTTTTTGTTTTAGGGACAGATAATATATTGACTTACGATTTTATATGCACATGGATATGCATATACATTCACATATATAGAAAATGTTTCTTGTTCCACAATGAATGTGTTGCCTAAATGTATAAAAATAGAATTTTAAAATATTTTATTTATTATTTTATTTATTTTATGTTATATAAGTGTATTGCCTGCATGTATGTAAGCACACCCATGTCATGTAATACTCATGGAAGTCAGAAGAGGTCATTGGATCTCTTGGAACTGGTTGTTAGCCACCACACGGGTGCTGGGAACCAAACCCAGGTCCTCGGCAAGAGCAGCCAATGTTTTTAACCACTAGGCCATCTCTCTAGCCCCCAAAATAGAAATTTTAAACTGACCTGACTCATCAATACTTGTAATTTAATATATACTGTTTATGACTGACTCACAGAATGAAATTTTCTCTGATTTCTGGTTTTTGCTTATCACTTTTTCTGGAAGCAAGTCTCCATCCATACCTCATCATAGAAACCTAAGGAGCCTTGCAACTTTCAGAAAGCAAACTTGCATTTAGGTAATTTATAAGTAAGCCTCGGAAACATGAAAGGGGACATGGATGCTGGGGATCAAACTCAGGGCTTCGTGCGTGTTAGGCAAATACTCTACTAAGTTCCCTTCCCAACCTAAAATACCACCTTTATATTGACCACTGAAAGTCCAAAAAAAGTCCCTTTTTCTAGAGTTGGATATAAGAACACCATTTATTCTTTAGCGATGATCTCAATTCTTACTTAAAAGAAAGGACTCTCTAACTCCAAATTTCCAAAGAAACGTGACTCTAACACATCCACAAAATTGGATCCTGCCACAGTACTCTATGGTGCTTTGGGTTTTTTCAAGCAAACAAGATGTGGGATGATGATTACATGGCAGGGGAGACAGAGGACTCTTCTGGAGTACTGGTGAGCTCTGTGCTCTATGGTGGGTGGGGGTGAACTTGGTGACTAGGAACAACACAGAGTGATTGGTGGAATCTTTTCATTGATCCCATCGATCTTTTTGTTGTTTTTGTCAAGAGGGAAATGAGCACCCTTAGACACAGTCAGGACAGAGGACAGATTGCAACAGAGGACAGCAAGGGACTGTTAGGCTATAGCTAGTTCAAAGTCTATGGAGGATACCTCACCGTCTGATGGTTTTAAAATTCAGAAAACTATATGTGTCTTGATATTGACTTCATTTGCCTGAAAATATTTTGCAACCAAATTATATCCATTGGGAATGAATACACTGAAAAGTGGAGCCAGCCTAAGAGAGTTTACATTTTATCTACTGAGACTGAGCATTGTCTAAGGACAAACAGATTTTACTAAGTTTAAACAATGTTTTTAGTATAACTGGTGAAGTCCATGTGACAACAATGTCAAATCATAAGGCATTAATAAAGTGAAAACATTAAACTTCCTCCACCCATGTGATTGTGGGATAACTTAATGTTGTGACTCTGCTTCATGTGCAAAAAGATCAAAGGGGTTTACAAGTGTCAACAACCATCATGTCTAGGCCTTAGAATGATGTAATTATTTTCTCTAACAGTCTAGTGTCTTCTTCTTCTTTTTTTTTTTAACAGAGAACTTCTATTCGGCAAACTTTTATAAGGACCCAGTATAAATTATTTTTAAACTTACTTATAATACAGTATAAATAATTTGTGTGATATTTTAAATTGAAGTTGCATTAAAGATTCTTAGGAAACCTCTGATTCTTAAACAGTAAGGTGTATGCATACCTGACCATCCAGATAACTCTAATGATGGTTTTGCAGGCCCAGTGAGTATGTCTCACTATCCAGTCACATTGAAGTTTGAGAAGATGGCATTATTGGTAGAGGTCAGGAGAAATGGAACTTAAAATGACATCAGAACATCAAAAATGTTGTTCCCCTGTGATCTAGCATTTCTCTTAGGTATACAGACAAAAGGAATGCAAATTTGGGCTGGGATTCTTCAGAGGGAAAAGGCACCTGCCATCAAGCCTGAAGACTGGAGTTCAGTCCCCTGGTCCCACATGGTAGAAGGAGAGAACTGACTCTTGGAGATTGTCCTCTGACCTGCATACTGCGGCAACCACACGCCCTCCACACAGGCACATGCATAAAATAAATAAATAAAAAGATGAAAACTTACGTCTGCACAAAGACTTGCACACAAATATTCACAAAGCACTGTTCACACAACATGTAGGAGCAACTCAAATGTACTGCAACTGGTGAAGAGACAAATGGTAGTGTAGCCATACAACCAAGTGTTATTCAGCAATAAGAATGAGTGATGTGCAGATATATTCTGCATGATGTGTGGTCCTTAAGCTGGAAGAAGTGAAAGAAGCCAGACACAAAATGCTATATGTTTTATGATTCCATTTATATGAAAGGCTCAGAAGAGGCCAAGCCAAAGAGACAAAAAGTAGATTGGTGATTACCAGGGCCCATAAGTGGTGGTGAGGAGACTGTGGGGAGACTTCTTTTCTGTTTTCCTTTTTTTAAAAAAAATTTATGTGTATGTGTTTGAGTATGTGCACATGAGTGCAAGTGCCTGTGGAGGCCAGAAGAGGGTGTCAGGTCCCATGGAACTGTAGTTACAAGCTGTTGTGAGCCACCCATTGTGGGTGTGGGAGCTGAACTCTGGTCCTCTACAAGAAGAGCAAATGCTCTTACAGCCGCTGAACCATCTCTTTAGTCCTGAAGCTTCTAATACAGGTATGGACTTTCTTTTGGGGGTGATAAATTCCTCTGAAATTGAGTAGAGGTGACTGTGTAACTCTGAACATGCTGGATGATCCATTAAAATGCTGACTCTTATGACACTTGAATTATATCCTCACTGAAAAATAAGAATATGGTTTAACTATGCATTTTGTCCACATACATTTAGAACTTTTATTTTTTCAAACTTTTATTATTTTTTTTTTACTTTATGTGTAGAGTATTTTACCTATATGTAAGTAGGTGTATCACATGCATATGATGTCCACAGAGGTCAGAAGAGGTTGTCAGATCCCCTGGAACTGGAGTTACAACAGTTGCTAGCCACCATATGGGTACTAGGTTTGGGATCTGAACGGTTAATTCTCTGGAAAAGCAGTAAATGCTCTTAACTGCTGAGCAATCTCTCCATGCCCCTAGAGGAAGATTTCAACTCCAGACCTATTTCTGGGTTTTCCTGGTAACGTAATTCCTTTAATTGAAAAAGGAAATTTCCTAAAAGAATTTGAATGAAACTTGTGGTTGGACTAATTGGGACCTTTCAAAACCACACATTGTTGGTCCAGTTAGAATAAAAATGTAAAAAGAAAACAAGGGGTGGGGGAGAAGGAAAGAAAGAAAAGACTGGAGGAGGAGGAGGAGGAAAGGAAGAGAGGAAAGAAAGAGAAAGGAAAGTAAGAGGAAGGAAGCAAGACAGAGAGATTGCCTCTGCTAACAGAAAGTTCATAAACCCAAGGGCATAAAACGTCATCCTTACATGAAATGAGCCCATGAACAAAACTCATAACATAAACTAAACAAGTATTCAGCTTCTGGGGTGAGCACAGGGAGAAAATTGAGGGGAGTTAGTTCAGAGATATCTTTATCAGGAAAGAGTAATTAATAAGGACAGAAACCACATCCTGACAATTAATTACATGTTCTATGGAAACTTCAGAGCTGTTTCATTTGAACTCTATAAAATGGTTACTTCATCTACTACTCATTAAAGTACAAAACCCACAAATAAATTAGAGGTTGAACGTTAAAATAGGAACTTAGCTTTATTCCATTTTGAGTTTACATCAACTTCAGAAATAATTGCTGTTCCAAGCACAGTAGGCACTTTATAGACAACACAGCCAGGAAGGACAAGCTGACCCAGACTCCCCTCAACACACATCAGAAAGGCTGAGGCAAGCACCCTCAGCAGCACACCCCATTCCTTCCTGGGCAAAGGCCTTGATGTTTGAGTGGCTTGCTGAGCACTGCGTAGTTGGTAGGGAGCAGGGCTGGGACCAGTACTTTGATACACTGATTTTTTTTTTTTTTTTGGTCTTTTTGAGACAGGGTTTCTCTGTAGCCCCAGCTGGCCTGGAACTCACTATGTAGACCAGGCTAGCCTTAAACTCACAAAGATCTGCCTGCCTCTGCCTCCAGAGGGCTGGGATTAAAGGCATGCACCACCATGCCTGGCTGATAACACTGATTTTCAAACAATGCTGATCACACTCCACTCTTAAACTGTAAACTTTTCTGTGTTAAAGCATGACAGATGTACAGAATAGGGGCCAGTTTTAAATTTACAACTCAACCAGTTTTTCATATAAACACTCATGTAATGCTCCACCATTCAAGACAGAACGTTTTCAGTGTCTGGCTTCTTTTACATAACATATCTGCAGGATTCTCTCTCTCTCTCTCTCTCTCTCTCTCTCTCTCTCTCTCTCTCTTTCTCTCTCTCTCTTTCTCTCGTCAATTGCCATGCACCATTTTTTCTCACTTTTGGGAGGGGGTCTATCCTTTCCTCTTAGATGGGTGAATAAGCTCAGTATGGTCTAGGGTATTTGGCAGTGATTGACAGGAGAAAACTCTCTATGCTTGAGGGTGGGTAGACAAATCTCAGCCGGCTGAAAACTCCATCTGCATTTCTAGGTAAATCTCTGCACCACAAAAACAAGAAATGTCTAACAAGAAACAGCAGGATGCTTAGTAACTGAAAACCAGACAGAAGGGAATCTGAGAATTGTATTGGGTCTCTGGGGTGATGCTGTCCTTCTTTACCCTACCTGTAGCCAGTGAATCTAGTAAAAGGAAACCATTGGCCTCCAACCTCCTGTGGTTCTCCATTCTTTCTAGGTTCAGATTCCTCACTGTCAAAGGCATGAGATGGTTTTTAAGGTCCCTTTACCCCCAAACAAACAAGCAAAAACCCGTACTCACTCATTTCACAGTGCTCTCCCTCTAGTCCTGGAGGGCAGATGCATTTTCCTGGGTAAAAACAGGTGCCTCCATTAAAGCAGGTAGTTGAGCAGTTTGCTGTTTGAATGGATGACGGAATGTTAGCCCTCACAAGGATTTTACTTAACATGAGCAAAATTTCTTAGGCATGTGGATAATACTGATTTATATAATAAATAAGTCACTTTACAAATGCAAAAGCTATAACCAAACATTTCATTTGAAATAACTGGTTCAAATTATAATTACAACTCAAAGTCCAGTTACTCTATAATCTCAGAGCTAAGAGGCTATCACATACATGGTCCTAATTCCTAACAAAAAAAGGCATAGTATGACTTTTTAAAAAAGTCTTTTTAACGAAATCTATACCCTAAAAAGAAGAATACTGTAAATCCAGGGAAATATATTTTTGAAAGCATCAAGTTGGAAGATAAAGGATGAGTGAAGAAAGAGGAAACTTGTATGGAATGATAAAGGGAAGGGAAGTGTCAAAAGTGTCAGGATCCAATGAGAAGCAACTTTCACAATGAGATGAGTGGAGACTCCTTGTAACAAACAGCATCTAAAAGAAGTCTGTCATGACATCTGGAGAAAGGCTTGAGTAATTGCACTCTGAAAGACAGATCACAGACCCTGTGACACCCCACGGGTGAGGATGTGTTCACAGCTGAGCTGGAGAAATGAAGTGGGGAGCAGTGCGATGCAAACCCAATTACACATAATTCATTCTAAGCCCCTCTCTCTTGGTGTCAGCTTCTTGAATGTCACTATTCTTTGGCTCTTAAAATAGAGAGAGGATGGAGAAACGCAACAGGAAGGAGGGAACAGCTAATAGTAGACAGGTTGACTCATTCAGTAAGAATATTAAAACGAGAATTTGGGCCAGGTGCTGTGACATACACCTGTAATCTCAGCAGTCAGGCAGGTAGAGGAAGAGGACCAGGAGTTCAAAGTCATTTTTTGTTGCATAGTGTGTTTGAAGTTAGTGTGGAATATGTAGTTATGTAAGACCCTATCTCAAAAGAAATCTGAAAATTAGAGTTTGGATTTGTTTCAGTTTCAGTTATGCGTCCTGTTTGTTCTTGTCTTGTATAGAAGTGATGAACAAAGGCTAGGGGAAGCTTCCAGCGTGAAAATCAGAAAGTTATAAATGTGTGTTCTTTCTTTGCAGAAAATAAGTTCAAGTAAAATTTTCTATGAATAGTGTGTTTCTTAAATAATAAACTTGTGTTCAAAATCAGGGCAACACTACACCTAGCTTCTTGATGTGGTCATGGGAAGAATCATTTTGGTTCATGATTTAGGATTTAGGAGCTCCAAAGTCCTGGGCCTTCTTTTTGCTCCTTGGAATATTGCTAGGTTGGCCAGTTGTTTTTATGAGTGTGTTCATGTGTCTCTCCAGGATAAGAGGAGATGAGAAAACATTGTGATCAATGTCTACTTGGCTTGTGCCCCATTAGCACAGCCAATCATGAACATGAAAAATGCAATGGGTTTAGTAGTGTACTTGAAATAGAATTGGCTAAAGCTGACTATATAATTTGGCCCTCTCCTCCCCCTTCCTCCTTCCCCCTCCTCTTCCTTCTCTTCCTCTTCCTCCTCCTCCTTCTTCCTCCTCCCTTTTCTTCTTTTTGAGTCAGAGTCTACAAGTTCTAGCTACGTAACATTTCCTGAACTCATGATTCTTCTGCCTCAGCATAAGGGATTATAGGTATATGCTACCAGACCCAGATAATTAGATCTCATGTTTGTCTTTTTATGATGCTTTTCCAAACTGACTAAACTTCACTAAATCTCTGCTATGGTTTAGCTTTGGATTGAGTGAGTATCCCCAAGGTTCTCACACTGCAAGAGTACGGTGTGTGGAACTGCTTGAACCATGAAGAAGTGGGATCTAATAGAATGCTGTTAGGTCATTGGGACCATGGTCTTCAGAAAGGATTATCTGTAGTTCTTATGGGATCCTGGCTAGATCCTGTGACAGCAAGTTGTTTTAAAAAATAGCAAACCTGGCTCGTAAATTTCTCTGGACTCCTTTCTTGCCATGTACTCTTTTCTCTGGCAGGTATTCTCACCAAAAAAACCATTTTCTACCTTGTGATATAGCCCCAAGCTTTCACCAGAGCCAAGCAGATGATGGTACCATCATCTTGACACTTCAGAACTGTGAACTTAATCAGTCTCTTTTCTGTAGAAAATCTTCAGTCTTGGGTATTTTATTAGAGTACAGATAGCTGGCCAAGAGCCAGAGACACTAAATAACTTTCATTGTGGCTGAGGGTATATTGGTCATGCTTAACTGGTCATTTCCTAAAGATTGTGGCAAATGTCCCTAAGGCCAATGAAAGTTATTACTTTAATGTTTGTTCCAAAATACAGTGCTAAAGTCTAGCTCTATGCCAATAATTAAACCATTTTTTCAGACACTCCATACTCCTCCCCAGATAATAAAAGATTCTTTTGTTGAGTGAGTGAAAATTAATATGTTTTATGTTCCCAGATCTCCAGTGAGACCAAATGGAATTTCAACAGACTTTCCAAATGAATTTTTTTAATTACTAGAATCTATCATGTAGGAAAAAATTTCATCTGTAAGATAAAATATTATGATATGTAAAAAAAATACTGGAATAAAACAGATATATTCCTTCCATTGCAACACTGAAACTGTAGCATTAAAACCGATGGTGATTAAGCCTAGTGTGGTAGTACATGCCTTTGATTCCAGGACTAGGGAGGTAAAGACAGGTGGGTCAATGTTAGATTGAGGCCAGCCTGGGCTACATAGCAAGTTTCAGGCCAGCTAGGGCTACAGGGAGACCCTGTCTCAAACTTACACACACACACACACACACACACACACACACACACACACACACACAAGAGATGGTCCTAGACGGTCCACTGTATAAGCTGTAGCAATAATGGCCACATCCACACAGGCAGGCTCCATGCAACATGTATTTATTTATTATTTGAATGAAAAGATGTTCCTCATTCAAATCTTTGAAGGTTTGCTTTATTTCCTGATAGCTTTGTTATAACATGAGTATTATTCTCCTTCAAGAAATGCCTGACTTTGGAGTAGGAGAGATGCCAACTGTTAAATTTAAACAAATAAAATGAAGATTTACTCTGAGTCATGTCACTCCCTAGCTGCTAAAACTGATCACTGTTGTTAGATGTAATCTTGATGCATACAAGTTTTAAAGATGATTTTTAATCCAATGATGCAGTTTAAGAAAATAGAAGGTAGATGTTCATTCAGATAGTATCTCAGCTGGTGGGTGAGCAGCAGAAAGTGAATTGCTTAATTTCAAATTGAAGGAAGGAAAAACCCATGTCTCAAAGTATCTGCCCAAGTCCAGGACCCCTCAGGGAGGAGCAAGGACCTGATTAGGAAGAGTGACTGGCAATAGAACAGTGGAGGGAAGTGATTTGGGTGAAACAGGTCAATCTCTATGCACCTCACTCTGCTTCTCTGGGAGGGAAATGGATCATACTTTCCACATCTCAAAGGTTATCATGAGAAAAACCAGAAATTGTATGAAAGTCTCTTGTATAGCCTGAGATAGCAGGCAACCACAAATGACTACTCCAGCTCATGCTGAGGGCCTTTTGTGTTAACTTCCTTCTAAAAAACTGTGCATTATAGTCTTCCTTGGTGCTAACTAAATGATCAAAAGAGATACTTAAAACAGTATTTGTCAGTCTATTTCAAAGCACATTTTATTAATAAAAAACAATGCTCTGTGGCAAATAGCATTATGGATACAAGAATAGCTTCATTAAATCCACACACTTTGTAGGGTATTTAAAAATGTTTTTCTACTTAAAAGATGGGGACTGGAAAAATAGGAATGTTTCTTGTAGAGTTATTTCATTCAGTAAATTTTCAGGTCAGAGTGTAAAGTCACTGCCTGTGAGTAAAGTCTTTCCATATTATCGCCATGTTTATAAGGAGGCACTTGATCTCTGAGAGATGGGATTCTGAACAGAATACTTAGTGAGGCCCTATCCAAGCTCATATACACTGAGGCTTTAAGTCTAGATCACTGCTATTTTAATATAAAATATGTATATATGAAAGGAATATTATCTGTATGCCAGCAACCTTCACAGTAAATGTTAATTGTGTTGGAATTCTCAACTGGCAAAAGGTTTCAACCAGACTCGGGGAGGGGGGCATCCATTCCATTCTCATGTCCCTATAATTTCCTGTCTTTCCCCTGTCTGAGGATCACAGATGGACGCTATCTAAATCAATTCAGGGGAAGAGATACACTGTACGCTGACTCCAGCATTGTACCTTTGCACTGGAGCATTCTGGGAGTGAAAATTAGCTTCTGTGGGGTTAAGCAACACTCAGACTGAGGTTCCAGTTATTATAGCAGACATTGTCACTCTACATATTTACAAAGTGATGACATTAAGCCTATTTATTTTCATTAAAATTTGAAAGAACTATCTTTAAAAACAGCAAGGGCTGGAGAGATGGCTCAGCAGTTAAGAACACTCGAGCTGCTCTTCCAGAGGACCCAGGTTCTGTTCCCAGCACCCACATGCAGCTCACAATCACCTCTAACTACAGCTCCAGGGAATCCCGTGCCCTCTTTTTGCCTCCATGGGCATGGCATGAGTGCAAACACACACATATATTAATAAAAAGAAAATAAATCTAAACAAAAATAGAAAATAACAATACAAATCCCGGTTACCTTTGTCACAGTTGACCCCATAGAATCCAGGTGGGCAGATGCAGAAGCCAGGAGTAACACACAGCCCCCCATTCATACATCGAGGTGTGCAGAGCGCTTGTGGGGAGAGAGGACTTTGATTAAGACCAAACAGGATTTGGGAGCAAGATTATTTTGCAATGTCAACAATACCACAATGTAAGCTTATTTCTTAGGGAAGAATTTTGAATTTGTTCCACTTTGAATGCCTGATTAGAACATTTCCAGAATCATCTTCACTATGATGTGGATTTTTTAAATGTAAATACTTTTTTCTCTACCCTATTTTCTTGAACTTCAAGCTCTAAGATAAGTGCAAATAAGAAAATATTCTTATTTCTTAAAGTTGAAAAATATTTTTGTTTACTCTGGTCAAATAAGCTCTTGGTATTTAAACATCTCATGATTAGTACACATTTTCTTGTTTTTCTCTTTTTTCATAAAATGTTCTCAAAAATAATCTCTCTTGAAATGAATTTACTAATTGCACAAGTGACTTTCAATTTTCTTTAAAACTTACAATAAGTTCAGAACTCAGGTATGGATTTAACTGTATTTCAAGCTATTTTTAATTGGAGAATTTCAAGTCACTGGTGATAACAGCTCCTTTAGAGGAGAAGAAAATTAAAGTCCTTAAAACTTTCATAAGAAGACATGATGGGGAAGCTGTAGCAGTAAAATCTCCACAGTATCGTAGTCTAACAAGCTTTGCATAATGACAAAACCAGTTGCCATACCAAGGTAGATGGAGGGAAATTTCAAGGGTTCTCACCTCAAGATGAAAAGCTACAGGCAATCAATGGATGCTGAGGGAGGGAGGATCAGCTTTTTCTAGGGACTAGCTCCTGAAAGGTTAGCTAACTCCAAGTGGGCAGCTCTAAACACAGGTACACAGAATTGCCACTAAATGGACTCAGTGCATTTTATATATAAATAAAATGAATGTATATGTAACAATAATAATTAAGAAAGAGTACAGAACATTGAGAGAGAGAGAGAGAGAGAGAGAAAGAGAGAGAGAAGAGAGAGCGCATGGGGGAATTAGAGGGGTACTTGGAGGGATGGAAATGGTTGTGAAGACTATACTCATGTATGATGTCCACAAAAGAATTAAACAACTTCCATATTATTATCCCAAAGTACAGGATAAATAACAGGTTCTCTGACGGTGTGACCACAAGGAACAGCGCCCTGTGCCAAAGTTCTTGCCACAGACTGGTTTTAACAGAACTACTTTCTAATAGGTCTTGTGTAGCTTTTTAGAGTTTCACCAATCTTTATAATGTGACCCTTCCCAAACAATAGTAATTTCAAGGGATGTGTTACAGATGAAACAAAACAGCAAAAACCCCATGTGGGGTCTCTGTGTGGCATCTGTTTCCACCAGGAAGCAAGCCAGGGTGGCTAGCTCTCTCTGTCCTTTACCTTTCTCACAGTGAGGCCCGTAGAATCCATCAGGACACTCGCAGATGCGTCGCTCATTGCAAAAGCCTCCATTCCGACATCCTCCCGGACACTCCGCTGCACCAGAGAGAAACAAGCTTAGGGCATATCCTCGAGAGTCTGCCAGGTAAGGACATGAGAAGTCTAATCTAGAGTCCAGTGCGCCAGATGAAGTTGATTGACCAAGACATACCTAATCTCCTCCCAACACTACTTGAATTTCACCAAATCTTCAGTAAGATTTTGGCTCCCACAATCCTACTTCAAATAACAGGGGGCCTGTCGAAGAAGGTAAAACAACTTCTGCCTTTGTTCTGCCCACCTGTTAATGTACAGCAGCTCCCACTCACACTGGAGGCATGAATGACACTGCCCCTCTGTGTTCACTGGCAGAGAGTGGGATGAGTTTCTGGTGCATCTTTAGAGCACTGAAGCACTGAAGGGCTCTGGAGCTTAAATTCAGTGCTGGAACAGCTTGTATGAGGGTGGGGAAAGAGCCATGTCCTCATGGTTAATGGGCATCTGGGGCACAGCTGTGAGGTGTTGGACCCTTGCCTGGTAGGATCACTATGTAATGGTGACTTCCTGTCTTCTGTGGCTGTGAACTATCCCAAGCCTTTGGCTAGGGCATGAGTAGTGTGGCCTTTGGTGATGATTAATGCTCACAAAGAAGAGCCAGAGCAAGAAATGGGGAAATTTGTGCCCACAGGTCAAATGCTCCTGGAGACTCCCAAATGTTGAATCAGGAATAGGGCAGGGGGAAGAATGGGTGCTTTCAAGGGGCATTGGAGTTCCAAAGTGATGTCAAAACTCAATAAAGTTTGAGTACTGTCAATGGACCTCATGTTTGCCATCATTTTTTTTAACCACTTGTGTGCTTATAGTTATTATTTTTTAAAAGCTCTATAACGCCTCCCCCCAAGTCACACCTGGAGTCCTTCCCTTGATCACTGCCAGTACTTACCCTGTTGACATGTTTTAAAGAAGATTGCATTTTGTGGGGTCTGAAGGATGGTATTGCCTTCAGAATTCATCACGATCACATTCACTTCAAATGCTGCCACCCCATCTTCTTTTCCAAGACATGGGAAACCAACTTGGACAACTAAAAGAAAAAGAAAGCTTGCTAAATGAATTTATCCCGTTGATTCTATTTTGCAGAAATTGTGGGAAGAAAAAGCAAAAATGCTCCCATTTCTGTGATTTTCTTCTCTCTGGAGTTGAGATGGCATTGTGATTACCTGCACATTCTCTACAGAACCTGTGCACCATGTAGGGTAAAGAGCAAATGACCCTCATTAATTTGTACTCCATTTATATAGAACTTGGGAATATTTTGCTGACAGTCTTGGTTTGTATCCCTTCTTTAACATTTTACTTCTATTTATGTTATGCATATGTGTGTGTAGGCACCTGCAGAGGCCAGAAGAGGGGTATTGGATTCCCAAGATCTGGAGTTAGAGGCGTTTGTGATCTGCCCAACATAGGTGCTGGGAATTGCAATCAGGACTCTCTGGAAGAACAGCAAGCACTCTTAAGCACTGAGCCATCCTTCCAATTCCACTTCATATTCTTAAAAAACCAAAATATTTTATCTGGAATTAAGAATCCAAAAAGGAAGCACAAATCTATTAATCAGCAGAAGAAATTTTGTGGGTATCTTTGCCATCCAAAAAGAGCTATAAATGGGTATTTCATAATTCATTGAATGAGCTTTATGAGCAATACCCTACTAGTTTATTTTTATTTTGCTTTTTGAAAGTGACAAAATAAATTCTTTGAAAATATTCTGTAACTCAGCCTGGACTCCAATCACTGGACTGAGTCAATGAGGTTATTATTTTCTCAAGCTATTTGTTAATATGAAGAAGCGTTTGGTGTGATGAAACACTCTCCTGGGGAGGCTTGTATCTCATAATCTAGGTTGCCAATGTGGAGCCATTCTTATGAATATTGGTCACTTGAGTGTTGGCATGTATAGGTGCTGACAATGGAGCAAAAGGCAGGAAGCAGGAATTAATAATGCTTCCGTACAGAGAGGATGAGGCCACCAATTTGAAAATACTTACAAGTCATTGGGTGAAATTGGGTTACTCAGACATGACTATTGAATATGAGAATGATTATAGAAATTTCCAGAATTTACTGGATTTTCATGTAATCTACTGAGAAGGACTGACTTAGCTAATCAACTAGACTCCAGCTCTTCCTTCAAGACTAGGAAGAGACACTGCCAGGATGTGTGCTTGGGAAGACTTGCTCCATTTTGCTTTTATTTGGCATGTATTACTATGGGCCAGGATATATATTTTCTAAGCATGGGCCAATCATACCAAACTAGGACAAATCTTTTCCCTTTGGAATGTGAATAAACCTTCCTCCTAGGATTATAAGAAGAAATGAGCTGGAAGTTCATCTGTTCTTTTCCACCAGCACAGAAGCTGGCCACACAATCTTCGTAATGCGCCTAACAAACAAAAATTCCTCCGAAGGCTTTGTCACTGCCAGTCCCTTTACTGTGCTATTCCCAAACAACCCCAATTTCCAGTTCCCCAAATCCTGAGATCTGATCATTGCAAATAATTATTATATAAAGAAAAAGAAACACAGGAAATAAAAAGAGAAAATCAAAATGGAGACTAAAGTTTCAAAGTAAACCGGTCTCCATTGAAAACCTTGGTTTAATGAAGTCTTCTATCTGAAATGCAAATTGGCAAAACAAAAAAATCTATTAATAGAGAATTCTATTTCAGAAGGAAACAAAGGAGTCGATGAATAGTGCTGTGTCGGCTCTTCCAGGGCACTGACACTTTATTCTGCTGTGACGCTTCCCCCTCTTAGGAACCCTCTGCACAGATAGATGAGCCAGTGACTTCTGTGAGGCATTAAGGAAGAACCAAAAGAATACTTGAAGGTAGGACTTGTAGAATCTTCCTTACCACACACCGTCATCCAAACTTCATTGACTTACAGGTGGATCATATTCTTAGACCTTGTTCAGCCTCTACTTCGTGGCCACCTGATTCTCTTAAAATGGCACTTCTGTCCAGAGCCTTGGCTTTCAAGGCCAAAATACAGAGTACTTGATCTCTACACTTTCCAAACACTTCTACCTAAATCATTTCGTTTATGTGCGTCACAAGCCTCTCTGCCTATGATTTTGTTGTAGTATACTGATTATATTATTGTCTGTATCTTTGCTAAGGATGAGATTATCTTTTCATAACCCCAGCACATAGTATATTATCACAACCTAGGCCCTGACAGGTGCAATATATGTTATGGGAGATACACTCATATACTCTTAGCATCCTAAGATACACATATACTCACATGATTGCACCCATACACAGGAACTGAAATTTATCAAGACAGTAGGGGATCCAGAGAATAAAATAGCAGCATGTCTGCAAAGACACATGCACAAAGGAAAGAAGACATCAGGGCAGGAAAGCCCTTTACTTCCAAGAAACAATAGCATTGGAGTTATTTGCCACTTCTGCAACAGCAAGCCTATGAGCAGAGAACCACTGTTTCCAAAAGCTAAATGAAATTAGGCCAGATGTTGTGAATTCCAATGTACTCTAGGTTGTATAATCTAAACTGGGATGAATTAAAGCAATTTAGGAAAATTAAAACAGATAAACTCACATGGCATTCAAATATATGTTAATATGCAATTGATTGCACATAAACTAACTCTTACGTAGAAGCAAACAAAAACTTACTCTGATTGAATATCTCTTTACACGGAAATGGGCAAGGTCCTTATACTCCCTGAGCCTCCTGTCATTTGAGCCACTTTCCTTGCAGGAAATTATGAGATGAGAGAGACAGCAGGAACTCAATCTCAACACCACAGGCTTATAAACTCCATAATTAGAGAGTATTCAACATAAGGGCAGCAAGCATGAGGACTTAAGTTTGATCACCATCATCCACACAAAAATGCTAGGCATGGAGCCACATGCTTGTAATCCAGCACTGGGGAGGCAGAGACAGAAGGATCCCTGGGGCTCACTGGCCAACCATTCTAGGCTAATTTGGTAAGCTCTAGGCCAATGGGAGACCCTGTCTCTAATTGGTTGGTGGCACTGAGGATGACACTGATGATTGTTCTCTGGTCTTCACACTCATACACATACATGTGCACAAGCACCCCCACCCAAGGAACATGACACAAATATGTATATAAAAAAATTACTCAGCATAAGCACTCATCAGTGCTTCAAGCTGATGCAACAAGCATTCAGTCTCTCAGCAAATACTGACCATTTACTCTGGCCTCTACTTTCTGCTGAGAGCTGGCACCATCAAGAAGATAGCCCATCCAACAGTAACACCTATTGAAAACTCTGCACACTGCATTCTCGAGCATCTTAGTTGAGAAACAACATTGCTCTGTGGGTTTCATGCAGCGACTGATCGTTCAAAGGGGCAGAGCCTTGGCTTTATGGAAACTTTTTTTTTTTAATATAACTCAGTAATTTTACTAAACCACCCTGCAGTTTCTATTTCCTGTTTTCATTCTCTTCAGATGCCAGAAGGCAGGCACTTCATAATTGTTAAAGATCAAGAGTTTTCCTCTTTCATGCAATGTTCAGGCACATAGGAGCCCCTGGGATGAAAGAACAGCTTGGGGGGTATAAACCAGCACAGTGCAATAATGAATGCTACCTGGATGCTTTAAGAGCAAGGACACACTAATTTGGTTACTTTTTAATAATTCAAGGTAACTTCACTTCTCCTACTGTGGTGACCGAGCTAATGAGGCTAATGAATAGCTGCCCTGCAATGATCTGAGAGTCCAATAAACATCTTGCACCTGCAGTTTTGCAAACAATCACTCCATCTGCTTCTGAAAACAAGTACGGGTACTGTAGTGGAGGGGGTTAAGCATGTGAAGTGTGTGCATTAACACAGTGGGCGCATCACCTTGTCATAGAAGAAAGCTTGCTCTCTTTTCAAATCTCACCTTGCCCCAAGTGGCTCCCCTTTTTCCTCTAAATTTTATTATTATTTAAAAATTTTTGTTTGTATGTGTACACCTAGATGTGCTCATACATGTACATGTGGATGGCAAGGTTGATGTCAGGTGTCTTCCTTAATTGCTGTCATCTTTTTTTGAGACAAGGTCTCTCACTGAACCTGCAGCTTGCCGATTGGACAGACTGACTGGCCAGCAAGCCCCAAGGATCTTTCTGTCTCCATCTCCCCAATGCTGGGGTTACAGGTGTGAGCTGCCAGGTTCAGCTTTTTGCTGGAGATCAAACTCAGGTTTTTATGCTGGCATGGCAAGCACTTTACTACTGAGCCATCTCCCCCACTCCTAAATTTTATTGTTATAGATTCTATATTATTAGAAACCAATGCTGAATTTAAACATGCTCTGTCAAGACATTCTCCCATCATATGCTCAATATTTGATGTGTCAATATCTTCAAAAGTAGAATTTCACTAAGAATCTTTTTTTAAAAAAAGTAACAGACTCAGAAAAACAAAAGACTTATGTTCTCCTTCATTTGTGGATCCTAGCACCAAATCCTTATAATAGATGAAATCCCACTGAAATGGGACAACAGCCCATGGAAAACAGATGATTCAGAGACCCAAAAGTTCAGTGCCTTGCCACAATGGGAGGAAGATCATCCCACACCTACCACCCCCTCCAAGGCTCAGGGACTCTACCACTATGCCACCAAGCTATAGTCACACCTCCTTCCCACACTCATCAAGGAGTTGATGGGGGAAGTCAGTTACTCCTCCCATCCAGAAAGTTGACCTTAGCTGCATGTGGGAGTAGGGCTAAGGATATACAAGCCAAGAATGCCATGAGGCACCTCTCTTGCCATTTTATGTGGCTGTAGGGAAGTCACAGGATTTATAGTTGAACGTGGACTTTCTAGCACAGCTGTAAATGGGGGGGAATGCCCACTCTTTTATAAATAAACCCCCAGCCTATGCTCGGTTATCAGGCCCAATAAACTGGCTAGGGTTTAAAACAAAACAATAAAAAAGAACAGAGCTAATGGACACCTTCATTGTTCTACCAAAGTTGACTCCATATTGGCAAATCCTTTGATCTTTGATTTCTCATTCCTATTGTTCCCCCCATAAACTTCATTGTATACATATTTTTATGTAAATAATTTTATTATTTTTATTTTATGTGTATGAGTGTAGTGCCTGAATGTATGTAACTTCACTCATGTCATGCAATGCCCATGGAGGTCAGAAGAGGGCATTGGATCCCGTGGAACTGGAATTACAGATGGTTGTTAGCTGCCATGTGAGTGCTGAGAATTGAACATGGGAATCCTGCAAAAGCAGCCAGTGCTCTTGACCACTGAGCCATCTCTCCAGCTCCACAGTAAGAATCTTTTTATTAAACACCAAAAGTAAATAGGGAGATGTACTTTGTAAGCATTAAACTAGAAATTTAATGATGCAAGTTTTATTGGAAGTTCAGCATATATCGCTGTGTAATTAATTGAAATGATTTATTTTAATGGATTTTAACAGTCTTCTAAATGAGTTTTAATAATCAGAAAAAGGGAAAGGAAAAAACTCAAAGACATAAATTGAATATGAGAGACATGCTATGTATTTATTCCTGGCTACTTCTATTGAAAAAGAGGGAAAAATGATCAAGAAAGAGTCTATATAAATTTATCTTTGGTGGGGATGGAAAGACAGCTCAGCAGGTAAGAGCAATGGCTGCTCTTGCAAAGGACAGGGGTTGGTTCCCAGTACATACATGATGGTTAAGAACCAGTTGAAATGCTAGTTCCAGAGGGTTCAACACCCTCTTCTGGCTTCTGTGAGCACTGCACAACACAAGTGCACTTATGTATACCCAGGCAAGACATTCATGAACCTAAAATGAAAGATAAATGAATTTTTAAAAATTGAAAAATTATCTCTGCATAAGAAAAAATATCATGTCACAAGAGAGGAAACTGAGTAATAAGCATATTCCAAGGAGTTCAGGGTTGAAGTGTTTCATTTGTCTCTATGAGGTGGTAAGGCCTCACCAATCGCATATGAATGGAACCATGATGTTGGTGTCTTTGGCACAGGATGCCTACATCCTCAAGTCTACAGATCTCAAGCACATAAACCTTCAGAACCCAAGCAAATTCTCATTCTTTTCCCCATTCAGATGGGTAGCAGATCCCCAGGTGGCTCCTGGCTACAACAGCGTTGGGAAGATGACTAGAGAACTACGACTGCACTCCTCCTGTGTGCACCCACAATGGCTTTGATGCTAGGGAAGTAAAGGAATGGTTTCATCCCGAGGCCTCACAGCAGCATACAACACCACAGAGCCACTGGAACTAGTGGGTCGTTGCAACCTGAAAGCAGCCTCTGTGAGTGATTTCCTCACTGCTCTGCAGATTTGAGTTAGCTTCCACAGGGGTTCTCATTTGACATCTGATAGATGATTCACTATTCCTTTAGAATCCTAACCAGATTAAAAATAGGAGATTTTTCATCCATTATTTCAAAATACTATAAAATTACAACTATTGCCAGTTCTAAGTATTGAAATGTGAATTAAGGGGCCTATCAATATAATCTTTTCCATTAGAAAAGCTGATGACCAAGAAAAAGAATTTGAGTTAGAGCCCTTCTTCTATACTATTGCCAAAATAAACTTTTATAAAATATTAGAAGCATGTTTAAATGATCACTTAACTGCTTTCTGGAATAGGAATTAGTTTTGAAACATAAAAGGGATGGAAAAAGTTGCAAAGGAAAAAGATACACTTGGCAATATAGAATTGTATCCCCCTCCAAAAAAATAAAAAAATACATGAAAAATTGAAAAAATGAAATAAAATGTAAATAAATCTATTTCATATAGCACAAGCTTTGAAAACCAGTAAGAACACTCCTATCTCCCGTTGATATACAAATATTTTACATAATCTAATAGATTCAAGAAATTATGTTCTAGCTCAGTAGAACATTAAAAAAAAACCAAATTTAATAGGGTTAATAACGTACATTGAAGAGATTACAGCAAGCCGGGTGTTCTTCCACATTGCTAGCCAGGTCACAAACAGGTATAACCTTTATGGAAAATACTAATGGCAGTTGAACAGTTTCACAGCTTTTGAAAAAGTTCATAGTTCACAGGCTAGTCTTTAACTCAGTAAACACACTTCCAACCATCAATTTTAACAATATATATATATATATAGTGTACACATAAACCTGGCAATGGCCTTCTGAGTGCTCGTAGTTCGCTGAGCCTTGTGCTAGGAGCCATGGCAAAAAAGAGCGGGGCCCCCTCCCTTACGGAGGTGACCATCTACTAGGTTTTTAAATTTTTTCATTATTTTTATTTTATGTGTATGAGTTTATTGCCTGCTTGCACATGAGTGCACCCACATTGTACAATTCCTGCAGAGGTCAGAAGAGGGTGTTGTATTCCCTGGAACTGGAATTATGGATGGTTGTTAGCCACCATGTGAGTGCCAGGAATCAAACTCAGGTCCTCTGCAAGGGTAGTCAGTACTTTTAACCCCTGAGCCATCTCTTCAGCCCCCCCACATTTACCAGTTTTAAAGGATATTTATTGTAATATTTTTGCATGAAAACTCAAAAATATCTCATTAGCAAAAAAATAAGGGAATGGGGAAACAAATTATGGTAGGTGCATAAAATAGAATATTATAATAGATAATTTAATATTTTATAAGGGCAAGTACAACTATTGGCATGTGCTTATAATAAGGTGTTAAAAGTAAAATCCATGATGCAAAACCATACTTTTAATGCTGCTACAATTACATAAGAATATAGATTCATAAAACAAGACTAGTAGGTAATGGATATGGAATTTTTTCTGAAAATCAGAAATCTTGGGTTTGGATCCTGACGTTACCACTTACAGTATAACATTTGATTTTGGACAAATTTCTTAATCCTTGTGAGCTTTCATTTTTGAAATGTATAAAATGGAGCCATAGTTCTGGTTTTACAGGGCTCAGATTCTGTAATGCTTGAGTAGACCCTATACAGATAAAAAGTGGGGGACAAATCACATAGCATGACTTTCTTAACCGATGATTAGATATGAAAGGTTGAATCCCATGTCTCTCTGTCTTCCAAATGCTTTCAAATACAATGCTAACCTTCGGGGACTTTTTCACAACTTCTTCTATTCACTCCCAACCACTCCAAATCTTTGCCACTTTTATGTACACTGCATTAACCCATGCTCATAGCTGAATATATTCCATCAGGTATGCCTATTTTTCTTTTGTTCTTCCTTCTTTTATGTAAAAAGAAATCTAGAGTCATTAATAAAGCAGGTGTGGTTGGGGGTCTGCTTCTAGGAAAATGTGAAACCTTCATTTTACTTTCATCCTAATCCTTTGCCTGAAGGATAATGACTGAGCTGCCCTAAATGCAACAGATCTCAGGAGAGCATTTCATAACCCCTCTAGTGGGTGGTATGTGCACCTTAAATATCATTCTCATCACCATTAAGTCTTAAGGCAAACCTTTCTCCAAAGCAAAGACCACCCACCTGAGGCCTTGTGAGGCACTGTTCCCAGCAGAGGGACATTGACAGTTGGATCTGCCATAATGCCTTTATCCAGGGAGCGAAGAGACAGGAATTCATAGAAGTATTCTTCCTATAACAAAAGGCATTGACAGTTAGTACCATGGAAACCACAGCAACTGAGAAGGCACTTCTTGATGCACCATCCATCTGATGGGTGAGTGATCATTTTCCCTATGGGAACTCTGGAGCCCTCAACATCCAAGATAGCATATAGGCATAATGCACTCTTTGTGATTTATACCTACAGAATTAGACCTTTTGTTTGGAGGGAAGTGATTCCTCTAAAAACACTAAACGTATTTATTTAAAGCATGCTCAAAAGGTAGTGTTTTAGCTTAAATTATATTATTAGACTGAGGAAAAATGCTCTTAAGCAAATAATTTATGTCAAAATAATTATTGAGTAGCCTTTAGAAAAATCTAGCTTCACATCTTAGTTCACATTTTTTTTTTCAAATCTAAAAGGAGTATTTTGGTCAGGGTTTGTAGAGCTATAATAAACAAAGGATAACAAAATAGAAACTGAATAGTAAAAGAAAACATTTAAAGTTCAAAAATGTAATGTTCTTAAGTTTGAAAGATTCATATTAAGATCTCAGTTTAATTGAGATAAAACCCTAAAAGCTTCACAAAATAATAACAAAAATCCATCACTACTATATGACAACAGGTCATAATGTAATAGTTCACAGTGTAAACATTTTCATTTTCCCCTTAGGTCAGTAGTTGAGGAAAAGATTCTTACTGCTCAGTGTCCTTCAATACTGAAAGTAGTGATGGATCATCTCATCATGGAGCTTGATGCTCAACCCCTTTATTAAAAGAGTTTGCGCTAAATATTAAGGGAGTAATCAACCACTATTTAATTGGATTTAAGTTCTGCTTCCTAGGATGGCGCCCATACCTGACATTGATATCAGGCTTAGGAACCTGAGGCTAGACAGGTCACAGGACACAAAGGAGAATCCAATACCAGTTATCTACTAAATAGTTATCATATTAAACTGTCTCTTAATGATTTATTCTTATACCCATAGGTTAATACATCTCTCAGCTCTCACCAGAGAAGCTTCCTTAGCAGGTGGTAATTAACATAAAAACCCACAACTGGTCAACATGTAGAGAATAAGGGACTGCAGAGCACTTACTCCTGAATAGGACACCTATATCAAACTCCTGTCATCCAAGGCTCAGAGGGGACAGAAAGATTGTATGAGCCAGAAGGGGTGGATGACCATAAGGAAACAGAATTTTCCAGATAGCCTGTTAGTTACTCTTATGAACTCACAGCCATGGTGATAGCATACACAAGTCTCATGCAAGCACAAACCAGAAAAATTCCCATCATTAACACGAGGAAGTGGGTAAGAAGCTCTAACCTCACCTAAGGAAACTGTGCCCACAGATGGCTGTTGGGAAGGCAGCCAGTCTCTTTCAAGCACGGGACTCAGTAGGTTAACCAGGCTCCAGTGAATGGACTCACAGTGAAGGACATTTGGGGACACAAATTGAACTCTATAGGCTATACATACATACATACATGCACACACACACACACATATAATGGAGTACACTAAATTGGGCAGGGGCAATAAGGGGAGGTGGGGGTAAGGGAGAGGATCTAAACACCATCAAATTACAATACATGAAAATCACAAAAATTCAACAAAACCAGAAAAAAGAGTTTGTGTTGTAAACAATATGTTCTTGCGTAGGGATAATGAACAATCAATAAAGAACACAGGTACACAAATGCTAGCATGAGAGTGAGGCATCTTGAGTGATTCTGTGTCTATAGAGACGCCAGAATGGATGGGTTACTTAAAGAAACGAGTTACCATACATCAGTGTGGGCTGGATGAGATTTTCTTTTAAAAGAAGAAGACCTTATTTATATGCAGTGTAAATTTTGTTTTCCAACATGGAAGACATTAAGGAATGCATAAAAGACAGTTTTCTACTTTAAGTCACTATCAAAAGTATTTGTCACTAAGGATTCCACAGAAGGATGAAGATGGAATCTCAGTGGCTATGGGGACACTGTCTGTGTTACAGTGAGTTGAGAAACACCCCCTGGTTCACTGAGCCGAAAGTGACCCCTTCATCAGCCAAATCTCTACTGCAATGTGTTGTGGACTGGTTCTAGAGGCTGCAGAAGTCCACTGTGAGTCATTCGCTAGGAGAGTGAGAGAGCGGGATAAATTCATTTATTAAAATCATTCGCTAAAGAGAAAGGTCAGATTATAAGACAGGTGATTGCTATCCTATGGACGGGAAGGCAGAGATCTGAAACAATTCCAAAGACAGGAATGTTGTCGGGAAAGGTAATTCAATTTGGAATGGATTCCTTTGAAAAAAGACGATGGAGACTCTTTCTTCCCCTGCAGGAAAATCAATGAAAAGTGGTCAGTTTTCACAAAATGACTTCTATCAGCCACATCCCTCTGTGCTTTACGCGACAATATTCATCACTTAACATTTTGTCTTAAAACATATTTTAGTTGGCACCGTGAAGGGACTTGGTGCAGAATGCCATCGTAATGAACTATGTTCTGATTATTCATGTCACCAAGGACAGTAGTAACAGCGAGTGCCACTAGCACCACAGACCCTGGTGTTAATGCACACCATGTGTCCAAACTCATCGAAGCATTTTATTAATGGGGGCATATAGTACGATAGTGAGAAGTGAATGGGTCAAACAGGAACACTTTGAAACAAAACCCTCAGATACCACATAATAACTTACCATGTGTTACCCCATAATCATGTCTTTGAACTTCATCACATTATAAATGAAATCTGCCTTCCTATGGATGATATATTTTAAAATTACGTTTGTAAAAATTTAAAGATCATTTCAGTAAGAAATCAGTTGTTAATTTAAAAAAATTTATAAGTAAGAAAAAGGTGAAACAGATTAAAACAAAAGTGAGAACTAATAACTACTTTTTTCCCTTTTTCTGCTTCTCTCACATTTTTTTGGTATGTGGTTCTATACCTTTTACAGTGAAACTTAATCATTAATTTAAAGGCAAGCATGTAATTCATGTTTAGTTCTGTTGTGGCTAATGATAATCATTAAATATGTGTGTAGCTCTCTGAGTGCAGATGAACTATTCTTGAATCCTATCTAGGAAAGCTGCGCTCATATAACATGGTTATTTAAATCTCTTGCATAGCTCCTTGAACATGAGCAGGTAGCAATCACATTAAAACAGCTTCTGAATGTTTCCCCCCAAAAGTTTTGATACTGTTCAATGACTGGGGCCCTGAAAGAATTTCCGTCAGAGCCTAGAAACAGAACACAAGGAACTTTTGCTATTCTGTTTCTTCACATGAAGTAGGTGAGGAAGGCAGGAACTTGTTAGGTCAGTGTCAGAGAGTTTCTAATGAGTGTTGACATGGTTACTGAGCACTGAGACTAGGTTTAATGGATTTCTCTGGATCCTCTGATCTCATCAACAGCAAATTCTACACCATAGATTTTAGAGTGGTCCTTTTAGTTCTTAAATAGTTGGTTCACCCTGTGCTTTCCCTACTGCAGTTGTGATTCTGTATCTAAGACCGCTCCAAGTACAAACTGGTCAAAAGTGTTTCTTCCTTGGAATTTATCAGCAAAAGGTAGTTGCCAAAGTGAACCTTTTTTGTTTATTTATCCTTCTTATTGAAGATAATAATGGTGCTCCAATCTCTGAAATATGCAATTTCTTTCATATTTGTTATTTTGGGGATTTAAAATTTTAATTACATTTAAATTTTAATTAATTAATTAATTAAACCGCATGTGCACGATGCAGCAAGTAAGTGGAAGTCAGAGGACAGCTTTTGGGAGCCAATTCTGTTCTTCCACCATGTGGGCCCTGGGGATCAGACTCAGGTTTTCTAGCTTGACCTGCTGAGCCATCTCACAGGGGCCCCTTAGTGTGTGTGTGTGTGTGTGTGTGTATGTGTGTGTGTGTGTGTGTATCTGTGTGTGTAAAGAGAGCAATACTTTTTTACCATGTGTTTTTTTTTCATTCAGTCTTAAAAATTCTAACTTGAGGGGTTGGAGAGACAGCTCCGTGGTTAAGAACACTGGCTGCTCTTATAGAGGACCTGGGTTCAGTTCCCAGCACTCACATGTCCGCTAACAACCATCTGTAACTCCAGTTCCAGGGGATCAGACACCCTTTTCTGATCTCTGTGGACATTCCACAACATGGGTGCACTTACATACATGCAGGCAATATACTCATACACATAAAATAAATGTAATAATAAAATATTTTAAAAATTCTAACTTGAAAACCACTTAGTTGACCAATCTTTTTTCTGATCTTGACATTGGTATCTTAAAAAAACCTCACTTGACTTTGTAAAGAAGGCTACCAAAACTTTCAATACCATGTAAATGGTTCTACATATATATTATCATTACCACAACACAGAAAGTAAATATACCCATCATTTAACTTAAGGACTTAACTAAAAAGTCATAAAGTGATTGATCAAATGAGTGGTAGATTTAAGCCATACCCTATCTAACTTCTAGACACAAGTTTCCATTTTCATTTTATTTATAATATAATAACTATTCCTAGACCCCAATTTCTCCATTGGAAAAGCTTATTTGGAGGCAAATAAAACCTAAATTCTATGCCAAAAAGAACAAAGAACTAGCTTTAAAGTTTGGGAACAAGTTTCACAAATTACAGATTTATTACTTAGATAAAAGGAACTCAGAGCACGAACTGTAATAGAGAAGTTATACTGGAAACTGCTATTAGGAAAAAGTACATTTTGTTTTATTAAATGACATTAGTGGAAATTCAGGTAGAGGAAAGTAGGATGGTTATTTGGGAAATGCATGAAAAGTTTGCTTTGTATTCAAACAAAGAATGGGTCTATTCAGGAGAATAATTCACTTTTAAATTAAGTTGCTGAAAAATTTTGCTGGCCGGGCTTGCCATGCAGTAAATTTTCTTTTCATGGAGAAGTATAAAAGGCACCAAATACTATCCAGGGAGGAGTGCTAGAAGACATTTATCTTGCTTTCAATTGACTTGGCTGAAACTGGAGTTATTCCTT